CCCCAAAACCCCAAAACCCCAAAACCCCGTTAAAACGGGCGAGGATAGACCCTAATAAAAATTATTATTAATGAATAACCATCACTCTGATCATTGTCAGCAGAATCTTGCCTCTTCTTCTCCTCACAACCTTCTAAAGGTAAGTTGTTGCTCTAAGACAGTTTAAGATGAGTCACTCCACCAAGAAATTTAGTTGACTCATTCTATTAACAAGTTTTGGAGTCTTTTTGACAATAAACAGGAAATGATTTAATACTTCATGAAATTCCACTTGACAGCTTCTTACTTAAAATGGCTGCTTTATTCGGACTATTTTAACTCTAAATTATCATGTTTATAGAAGCTCATGAATAGAAATAACACAAAAGTTAAGAAGAATCCTAATTTGAATTTATCCCAAGAAGATAACAGAACCGATACTTGCAGTCCGTCTTCAAAGTTAAGTCAGACTAAAAATGAGGTCGACTATAGTTTCTTCTGTGAAGATTCCATCCCTCACAATTTATTTGGAAGTTTTATAGTAACACCTTCAGAATTGATTGATCCTTTTAATAGTCAACCAGACTCCCGAGTTTATTCCTATTGTTCTTTTACTTCAAAGAAGGCTTCTCAACAGAAAGAGAGGCCTGACATTCAAAGAAGAAAGATGCTCAGAAGTATGAAGAGGTTCTATTATGAACTTTTCAAATACCTCAACAACAAGTTTTTCTATTTGAGACTCAAAAGGGTTGTTTACTCAACTGTGATCAAGGCGCTGGAGAACTTATGAGCAGTATATATCAGTAAGACTCATGCAGAACAAATGGCCCAGTTCATGTTTAAATTCCTCAACATTAAATGAGCTTCTTGAACTTCTGCTCAGTCTGAAGCTTTTAAAAGTGGAAAGAAAGTCTACAACTGCACTTACAACTACAGCATCAGCAAGTTCGATTCTTTGTTTGAGTCAGAGCATTTCAGGATACTCTTATTATCGTATTCTGGACTGCAGCAGTCTAGCCCTCTTTGACTGCAAGAAATGAAGTCTAAGCAACAATGGCCGAACAGATTTGATACTCACGACGGAAGCTATCTCAGACTCATCTATAAGCACCTTCGCAAAGGAAGAATGGAGAAATCGGATGCATGTCTAAAGGAATCTGTCAAGAGGTGTCAATATTATTAATTACTTAATTAATAAACTCTATCTGCAACTTCATACCATTCCAAACTCGGATTAGCAAAAGATGCGCTTAATTTTGGAATTAGTAGTTTCTATAATCCTCCCACCACCAATGGGCAGCTCATTCATTGGGCGACCCATAATTTGGAGAGTGTTTGGAATTTGGAGGAATCAAGAGAGGGATACTAATTAGTTTGGATGTTTATTTCAAGAAATTTAGTAAAGTTTAATAACATCAAATTAAGTTATGCACTTTTCAAGTTTCGATTATAATCTCTGTTAATTATTGCAAGTTATTTGGATGGAGAATAGTAGTCTATCTCTTTGAAGGCAGAGTCGAGACATCTAACCAACGATATCAGAAGCTAGATTTCATATTTATTTATGAAGATTTCAAAAGAAGCTCATTAGTAGTAATTGTTTCCTAACTTTTCTCCAAATCATGCACTTGGATTCTCACTAGAGCAAGACTAATGAATTATTGGGCATAGATAGGGCAGAATTATCTCATCAATATCTCTCCTGGCTAGTCTATTGCCCATAATCAATATAGCAAAACTGGAGTGCTTCATATAACAATTGTAGTGGCCTCAGCAAGGTTTAGAAATCATCTAACACTGTTTTTAATTTGCTAACCTGAAATCGGAAATAATTAATAACATTTGCTTTGTTAGCTTTCAATCTTTCATACAAGATCTCTAATTTCTTCTGTGCTGTTGAGTCGATCTTGACATATTTTATTGTTCAGAAAATTCAATGATGCTTCTTGTTACCAGAAGTTCTTTCGAAGAACTATCGATTCCGACAATAAGAGCTATTTTACTGTTTAATCAGACCAAAAGGAGTCACTGAGATTGACAAGAGTCATAGAACTAAGTTTTGTTATAGTATTTGATAGTTTTAACTCACAATGCATTTAGCTCTTTCCTCTCATTGTTTCATTTTCAAATACAGCCTGAGTAATGCTTTTAGACAGCCAAGAGAAATTGAATAAATTCTAACCTTAGTTTGTCTGTCAGGTTTGTATCATGCATGAAGAGGTTATTAGGCCAACATTCGATTTGTATCATTAGAGAGCAAAGTTAAACTGCAAAGACTTGTTAGATCATTCAGACCCTAAGTTTAATAGTTAATCATAATTTTCATTGATTTCTTCTATTAATTTATCAGGACCTCTCAAAGATTTGAGCTCAAGAGCTGAAGAGCATGATTTAATCAATATAATATCGAATGCTTTCTCTGGAAGCTAAAATATCAGAAGTTTCTCCAAGATAATATCTCTTAATTGTAACACATCTTTTATCTCCAAGAAGCTTTCAAAGCATCCAATACCTCGCTGTTAAATAATTTAGATGCAAAACTTGTCTGAAAGATGAAATTACTAATACTCCAAAGTACTAATAGTCTCGAATTAATCCTAAAAAACCGATGCAGCTATTAATTATTAATGAAAATCTGATCAATTTTGAAATTCTTCAAATTATGCCTTGACTTATGAATAACGTTTTTATATTTCGATTAAACGATTCATTCTTCTAGAGTTTCCATATAAACTTCATACTAAATGAACAAATATCTCCTCTTTAATTTATGTTCAGCTCAAACACAATTTCAAACAATTACAGCTAATTGGATGGTAGTAAACAACGAAAAATTTGTATAAAAATCTGAAGCCCTACCAACCTGATAGATTACGGTATCTCTAATATCTAATAACGTAAGAATGTTTCATGAAGTGTGTTCAGTTTCTTTTCATATTTATAACCCCCTTCTAAAATGGTAATTTCAGCATCTTTTCTCCTTCGACCCCTCTACCACTTAAACTAAAGGGTATAATCTAAAATCTAAATCCTTTGACTTAAATTTAAAACTCTTTAAAATCCCTTAATCAAAGCCACAGCTCCATTTTCTCAATGTTCAGAATTAGGATTGGGGTTTTGGGGTTTTGGGGTTTTGGGGTTTGGGGTTTTGGGG